TTAAAATGTTCTCTGTATCTATAGTTTAAAAAAATATTACCAAGTCATGGGAGCTTGTTATCATCTGTACATCTGTATCATAACTGTACATAATTCTGTACTAAGCAGAATAGTTAATGCAAACAATCACACACCAAATTCGAGACCAATCACAGAAAAAATGTAAGCACTTACCATTGACTTTGGATGAGACCAGCAACAGCAGGGAAACCAGGCAGTTACTACATTTCAGCTGAACTATTGCTAGGCTTTTCTTTGTGAAACAAATGAGGAGGTACTTTTAATGTACATTTGAAGTACTTTCTACCACTAGCTCACGGAACAGTTTTCAAAACTCCCTTGTCACAAATAATGACAAGCAGTAACTGTCTAGAAAAGTCAGTTAACGAGTTTGCTGAAAAGAAATTGCAGCTGAATATCTCACTTTCACTGCTATATTAGAAAAGAAATTGCAGCTGAATGTCTCACTTTTACTGATACATAGACAGTTGGTGGTGGATCTATGAAACAAGGAACATGGACTATAGCATCATGTATATGGATAATTTCATTCACAGAAGGAAAACTGCACAAACATACAGAAAATGTATCAAATATCTTAAGGAGTTGAATCCAACCTACACAAATTTACTCCCTCATTTAAAATTGGGTGACTGTAAGCAGGGAAACTGCCGTCTTTACTTTTCCAAATGTGCTTGTCTTGAAGATGAGAGGACAAAAAACATGTTTCAGTTATAAGAGCCTATTTCTGCTCATTGGTCTTCCTGCCAGTTTTGTAATAGCTCCATTCTGCATGGTGTCTAAAATCCAAGAGAGCTATTCAGGTCACCTAATATCCAAGGAAGAGCTTAAAATTTACTAGAGTCTCCATATTGGACTTCAAAATTTTTTATATAGACCCCACCCCCCCCCAGATGCTTAAAAGTATCCCAAACTGAACTCTTTAAGTAGTAACTGAGAAAGAAATGCCTAAGTTCATCCCCAGAGAGGCCATTCCCACACCTAACATCCATGAGTAGCTCTGAATTTAGCCCAAATTCCATTTAGTACTCCCAGCTGACATTAGCACTCTTAGCCTGCGTGTGGAGTGAGCTCTTCCAGAAGACTGCTCTAACCAGTAGTGTAGACAATACCTTGGGATGAGGTTCACATCTCCCTCCTTTCAACTCTCAGTAAGTCACTCATGAGATAGAGACAGTATTCACAATAGGCACTGCAAAAACTGCATACATACAAATGGAAACAGAGTTTGAATCCCAGGACTTTTAGACTTGTAATTTCAAAGGAGGATCTTCCAATAAGAAGATCCAGTAACAAGATAGAGGGAATTTGGGTCTGGTTTTATATTTTTTCTGGTTCTGTCTTTCCTTTCTGAACAGTAACCGAGCTGCAACAAGAGGGATGGAGAGTAGCCTGTATCCTTGGGCATGCTACCATTTGCTCATTCCTTGAGAAAATCAGAATTGGTGAGTGAGCTCACTCAAGACTGAAAGGGTCCTAGACCTAGACCTAGAAAACACATTTCTGTCTTCCAGGATAACTTCCCAAACCAACAGGTACCTTTGCACAGGACTACACAGTACATAACTGTTAGCACAGCTGGCCAACAACAGCTGTCTAGCATCATCAGGAGGTAGCACAAGCCAAGAACCATCCCTGATAGGAAACCTGGATGGAGCCACACTGGCTTCAAGGAGTGGGAAGAAAGAGCAGTCATGTGGATGTGAGAGTGGGAGCCTCTCATGGCTCCTACTTGTAAAAATGTCTTGGTGTCAAAAGTTTGTTCTGGCAAAGCCAAACCTGCTGACTCTTCAGATGATTTTCAAAAATGTTTTGCACTGATGAGCTCTAAGCAGTGCTCTGTTTCAGCATGTGGGAGTGCTGGATCAGCTGGCAGACGTAGGCAGTCAGAGCAGAGGAGCTGGTGGTGCCTCACACAGGTGCCCTGAATTCCTTTTTACAGGGCCTTATAGTTTTTCATTGACTATGGAAGAAATGTTGTCATAATATTTTTTGCCACAGCAATACTTCAATTCCAATACAGAAATCACTTTTATGCACAACAGCGAAGCATGGAATTTTCATCTGGTTTCTTAAGGATATGTTTTCCTACCTGGAAAAGTTCAAAGTCAAATACTGTTCATTCTACAGAAGAACATGCATCTGTGAAAGGATGCTCCCAGGAATAAAAATCTATAAAATCAAAACATTGCAATAAGCCAGAAAGCGATGCCTTTGGCTATCAATTCTTATTCAATGCCTTGAATATTGACATTTACATTTAGGAGGAAAATATTTATTCTGAGAAATAAACTATTTTCTTATTTAATGTTACTGCATTCATTTTATCCCTTTAACAAATAATGTTCAAATGATCCATCTTGTAGGATTATACTCCCATTTGTGATCTGTACTTGTGGCCCACTCCTGCCCCCTAATATTCTCCTCTGCTATACCACCCAGCATAGCTTGATTAGCTTGGTCTTTAGTGCCTCCTCCCTATGTGAAGTGAACATGGTATGACCTGCAGTCAGCCACAGAGAAAAAAAAAAAAAAAAAAGCCCACAAAACTTTCTTAGGGGAAATGACCCCTACAAATGAATGCTCTACACCTGGAAAAGCTGGCTGGGTTTAGGCATTTAAATGTTCATTTATTTCATGACCTCTTCAACTGCCAAAATGTCTGGGGGTGTTTTAACACCAAGACAGCAATTTTTGTTCAGCCAGTTAAAGCTATGCCTGCTTTTTTTTTTGTTTCTTCACGGTTGTTATTGAAATAGTATCAAACTCAAAAGGCAACCCTATTTTAACAAAAGAAAAAAAAATCCTAATGGAAGCAGAAAACAAGTAGTTTTCATCTCAAACTCTACTGAGATAACTCTATTGAGAGAAAATACCTTTTTAGCATAAACACATAAGCCAGCCTTGGAAAGCAGGTAGTTTTCTTCCCATTAACAAGTTCCAATGAGTAACTCTTTAAATGAGCATCTAATCTAATTCAGTTAGAATTACAAGCCAAAATATCACAAAATATACTTTTGAGAGCATATCAGTCTAGTTAGAAAATATTGAAATATTAGCTACTTCTTGACAGAAAAATACCCTCTCCTTCTCTCGTGCTGCTCAAATGGTTTCTATTTCAGGCTGACAGCCCTGTAGTCAATCACACCAGCTAGAAATCTCTTCCTAGAGCAGCTTTGGAAATGCAGATACTAGAGCTCTGCATGTACTGCCAATTTTTTTTCCCCTTAATATCAAAATAGTAGTATATTTGGTTGGGATTCAATACCCATTTTTAAGTGCTGCTTTTTTCAAACTTGACTTTTTCTCCTATTGTAGATGAACTCATTGTAATGGCAACTGGTGTTAATCAGCCACTCTTAACAGTCCTTTGATATCTACAGGATTAATTATTTCTAATGGCAGCACTTCCCAGCCCATCAGTTCTATCAGAAAGCAGCAATGGCCATTCTGCCTTTTGCTCCCACACAGATAAAAAGTTCACACAAATAAAAATATCAACATTTTTATTATTAAGAACAACAATAATTATCTTATTACAGTCTGTAAGTCATGTATACAGATTCTGTCACTTTCAAGTCTCAGCTTTCAAACCAAGTTTAAGGGGGGTTTTATGTTTTTGGGTTTTTTTAAGCATCTGAAAACATACAACCTTTCTGCTTTGCAGTTTTTTACTACGGGATCAGATAAGAAAACTTTTTGATCAGTCAAAACATAATGTCAAAGTGCCAGGAAAATAAGCCATTAATACACAAATGAATACTTTTCTATTACCAGAGTCTGCAATAGAATATATTGCTAAGAAAATGCTAAGGAAAAGAATAATACCTTCATTGCAATTGCTTCAAGAACTCAATAAAATTTCAAGTGTTTCTTTCACCTTTCATTTTTTATAGAACATTAATAAAGATGGTAGTACATTCATTCCAAAATCTGCGGCCAGATCGTTAGCTATGAGAATGCACTCAACTCTGTTTTCAGCATTTTCACTGACTGAGAATAGGGTCAATATCTGGAGAAAATGGTGGTGGAATTAATGTAGAAAAATATTGTTTCTCTGATGAGCAAGACAAGGATTGGATGCTGATGCTGCAGGCTACTCAAGGATGTTTAATTGTATTCATGAACTATTTGTAAGACAGTGAGCTGCCAAAACCTCAGACATTTCCAACATGGTAATTCTGGAATGGCTGTAGTATATAGGAAAAAACAGATGTCATAATGTGTTTCATCTAGTTTAAAACTTAACATGTAATTAACTTAATAGCTTGACAATAGCTGATGTAGCAACAAATACAATGCAATTAAATTCATACCTCATTATGACATAAAATTCTTCTACATATGCATTACAAAAAATGATCAGATTTTGAGACACTGGTATATTTAATGGTGACTAATTGTCCTTAAAATGCAATTGCATGTAATACTTGCTTCGTATTTCATCACTTGTGAAAATGGTTTTATTTTTGTAACACTGTACTTCCTGTAGTCCTTTCATTACGCCACAAGTGAAAGCTATTCCTTGGTGTATGGTTTCGGATGCTGTATCTAGGTACTTGGACCTCAACATTCATTATGTAATGTTTTCATTTTTTTCGTATTGCTTGGCTGTTTGTCCAAACTGCTGCAGACAATTACCATGGTTCTTTATAATTTTCTCTGAGTACTTTTTATAATAGACTTCAGGTGGTCAGTTTTAGGCACACAGCACCATGTTGAGACAGAGGCCTGTTCATGTATTACTTTGAGCTGTCCAAGGTTTCTCAAGGTATTATTAGGGTTTCTCAATTGTTAGTGCTGCAGAATTAAAAAGGGTAAGAGTAACACTGAAGCCAAATAATTTTTTAAAAAGTAGAGTCCTAAAGAAATACCAACACCAAGCCCAGACACTTGTTACAGAACGGCACTGCTTGACCTGCAGCTTCTGTGACAGTTTCCTACATGCAGTTTCTGTTCAAAGAAAACAAAAATACATTTTGAGGTTATAGTGATCAAGTTGGATTAAACAGAAAATAAATTTACTTTGAATTATGTAATTGATTTTTCAAGTGACTCAGATCTTCCAACGCTAGTGTGTTCCTATCAAAGACATTGAAACCCCTTTGAGAGGAGTGTGAAAGGAAAAGGGTTGAACTGTGGCATAATGAAAACCCCACTAAAATTTAATGACACATTCCATTCACTGCAGTAGATGAGGTCCTTTATGCTGACAACAGTGTGGTCCTCTGATTCTGTGGGTATGTACAGCTTGGTTTTTGGTACAGCACAGGGATATTATTAGGAAAGAGGGATCAGTAAAAAGGAATCTGAAACCTGATCTAGTGCTGAGGAATGCCTTTTGAATGTGTCATTTGAACCGAGTTATTACTTCTGGGAGGTGTGAACGTCTTTGCTAAAAACCTGAAATGGATCCTGAAAAGAAGTAAAAAAGTTAGGCAAGCCTTTGTGGAATTAAGAAAAGTAGTTTCAAAGAAATAATTATAATTTTGATTCTGTGCATCAAGATTTCAAATAAAACTCATCATGAGTCTGTTGGATATCCCTTGTTTCAGTTTACATTAACATCCATCCATTTTCTACATTTTAAAAACACATTATGACTTTATGTATATATTTAGATCCTGCACATTTAGGTCATCATTTAAGTTCTTGGAATACATATATTCCCTCACAAATGGTACTGTAGCTCTGTTTCTAAAATGCTGAATGGGCAGATTGTTTTCATCAAGCATTTCATATAAATGGTTTATGAACTGTGAACAAGAGAATTGTCTACTGATTGGTTATCATGACTTTCAAAGCTAACTGATACTTAATCCCTGTTCAGGGAAAATCAGGGGATTTTTATTGCACCTACAAGGAAATTTTAGGGAATATTATAAACTGACTGATTTTAAGGAAGTAAAAGGAATGGCTGACAATAAAATGCTTACAAGCTGTGGCTATGTAATACTAAACTGCTGTGCAATTTCTCCTTCAGTAGGTTACTTAAAGGAAAAAATAATATATTATGAAATGGACACATTTTTAGAAATTTATTGGAGACTCTTTCAGCAGGGATCACAATGAAAAAGGAAAATGGTCTACTTGCTGAGGCTGACAGCTAAAGGCACAAGTCCATCAGTCACTCAGCTGTGGTTTAGCATTCTTTTCAACACAGATCATTTAGCCTTCATTTTCCAAACAAGTGCTGTCACCTACAATGCACACCCACATAGTTGTTCTCAGGGTGCAGGTTGTCACACAGAGGCAATAAACAGGGTTCCCATAGAAAACTTCCATCTTTGATAGCACTTCAGAAAGGAAAAACCACTGATTGCAGCTCACATGCTCTATCCCTACAGCTTTTTGGAGGAAAAGTTCATTAGCTGCTTTGCATGCCAAGGGACCAGCTGTCCTTCAGCACATGGAGCTACTCTGATTGACCAGGAGGACAAGTGGGAAATAAGCCCACAGCAGTGCCAGCACGGCATATGGTCATGTACCAGCTGTTTCTGAAATGCTTGCCAAATGGAGATCGGAACTGGGTTGGTTGTTAGGAAAATAAAACCCAACAAAAACCAACAAGCAAACAAACAAAAAAGTTCCACTGTCCTGATTCCTGAGATCTGACCACAAAACCAGAACTGACAATTTGAAATGTCACACAGCAACTACGTGAATATTCAGAATAATTGGCCTCCATGTTCTGGCTTGCTCCATTAGGAGAACACCAATGTTCTGAGCATCTGTTCCTTCTACAAACTTTCAGAGAAAAAAAAATGTTTAGAAAGGGTGAAATAGAGTGGATTTGTATTGATGATATACATATATTAATACATTGAGGATAAGTGCACACAAATCTTAGACGCCTCATATTTTAGTACATCTTATTCTACCTTGAAAAGGGGAATTCAAATTCTGAGCTCCTGAACAAAATTTGATAGTGATTGGTGTGAGTTTTGTTAGTTGTGGTGAAAGGCTTCTGATAAACCCAGGGAATGACTCAGCAGAAAACAGTCAGCAGGACTTTTCCCCCAAAGCTTTTCAGTTTCAGCTTTTCATAACAAGAAAATAACTTGAACAATAATTAAATAGTTCAAAGAACAATTCTGTCCTTTTATCATACAGTTTAAAGGACTACTTTCTCTTTAGATTTCTCCCAAAATACTCCTGCAAGGTTTGGAGAAAGTAACTGATTAACTGCACGTTCATATGACATCAATGACTGCCTCAGCGACATTTAAGAGAATGCTGGTAGTTCATGTAGCTACATAATCTTGCTAGCCTAAGTCAGATTTATGACTAAATTAGGCACTAAGGATGTTCAAAATTGGCAAACCCTAGCTAAAATAAAAATAAGAATAATGTTGCTCTGTATCAGGAAATGAATATATAGGCTGGGAGGCAATGTTTGCATTCATGCTTCTTATGAGATGTATTTTTTAAATACAGACTTAACTTGTTGAAAGGCCTAAATGGGACCACATCCGGTACTGGGGGATCATGTTTTCAAAGGCGATCTTGGTTCCATTGACTGAAGATGTTGTGCACAAAAGAAGCAGTGTGAGCCAACGTGGATGACATACTGCATTTTGGAACTCTAGGAGCCACACGTCGAGCAGTGAACAAAAGGAAGAAAACCTCAGGATTACACAGACAGAAGACTTACTCTGACATCTTACATAATATTGACTTTCCTTAGGCCCGTATGTGTTCGTGTATTTGAGAAATGTGGGGTGGTAGTGTACATCTGAAAAGGGCATCATTATTTTCCTAATTAAGAAGCTTAACGAGTACTTTGGTGTGTCTTGTCATATTTTCAGCCTTACAGTGGCCCATTTTCACCCATCTACTATGCTAAAAATGTTGCCCTTTCATTTCTCCACGGTTGTGTAAACAGTTGTGATTAAACTGGCATTTAATCAATTGGAACAAAATCCCCGCGGCTCCCGAGGAGCTCACCTACTAAACCCGACTTTCAATGGCAACAATCTCCTAACAGACTACTTCCCTTCCAGACGGGCTTTCATTGCGCAGTAAAACAAACTTTTATTTGCTAACCTTGCTTTCGGAGTCGTTCAGGATTTCAAAAGGACCTCACATGACAAACACCGCTACGCTCCATCATTATCCCCCGCTCCCTCCCTCGCATTCCTGCGCCGGCCCTGCCTGGGTGTTCCCCTCCCCGGCGGCACGGCGCTCCGGAGGGGCGCGGGTGCTTCCGGCCGCCGGCTCTCCCGCCTCAGCGGCGGCCCCGCGGGCCCGCCCGGTGACTTGCGAGCGCCTCGCCCGCCGCTTCCCTCCTCAGGCGGACAGCGCGACGCTCTCCCGGCGGGCGGGAGGCTGTACAACCAGGGCAAAGGACACTTCCCCTCCTCCCCCCGCCCTTCCTGCGCCGCGGCCCCGACATGAAGGCGGCTCGCCGGCGCCCGGGCCCTACGGACGACAGAGATAGGGACAGGGATGAGTACGGGGCGGGGCAGAGCAGAGCGGACCGGTCCCGTCATCCCCCACCCACCGGCGAGATGGTCGCTAGCCCCTTCCCACCCGCGCTGCGCAGCCCCACGGATCTGCGATCAGGGATCCGTGCCGCCCTCTGGGCGGAGGGATACGGGGCGGAGCCGGCGGCGCCGTCCGCCGGGGCGCTGAGTCCCGTTGCCGGGTGACGGAGCGGCCGGCCCGGCCCCCTCCCTCCCTCCTTCCCTCCCCGTGGCGCTGGAACCGCCGCCGCCGCCGGTTTACGTAACGCCTCCCGGGGCAGGTCCCGGCTCCGTCCCGCCCGCCTCACTCGGGGACGGCAGCAGCGGGACGGAGTCCGCTGCCTCCTCCGGCTGCCAGAGGCCCCAGGGCCCCGCTCTGCGCCACCACGGCAGGTAAATGCCCGCCGCGGGCCCGGGGAGCAGAGGGAGGGGCAGGGCTGAAGGGAGGGAGGGAAAGTGGCAGCCGCCCTGCCCGTGGAACGGGAGGACGGAGCCGGGAGGCGGCGGCGGGCGCCCTTCCCCTCCCCCGCTTCCTTCCCACCGCTGCGTTGGGACAGGCGGGCTGGACCCCCGGGAGCGCCGGGCCGGCGGCTCGGCGCCCGGCCGGGAAGGCCCGCGCATCCCTGCCCGCTCCGCTAACAGCCCGGGAAGAGGAGGAGTTGCGGGGCCGGGCCTGCTCCCGCCGGGAGGACGGTTTCCCGGGACGGCGCGTCCCGCTCTCGGGTTGCGCCTGGCGCAACGCGGCGGGAGCGTGCCGGGGGGCGCGGGAGGAAGGGGCCGGGGAGGGGGTGACAGGAGCGCCGGGGGCCGGGCNGCTCGGGGGCGGGGCCGGGGGCCCGGCCGGGGTGCCCCGGTCAGAGCGCTGCTCGGGAGGGGAGCTGAGCCCTCCGTGGCTGCCGCCGACTCCGCGCTCTTCCATCCCGGCGGGACCCGGCGCCAGGTGAGCGGCTTGTGCCGCGGCCGGGAGGAAGGCGCCAGCCTGGAGCGGGAGCAGCGGCTCGGTGCCCTCGGGCTGGTTCACGCCCGGGAGCAGAGGAGGAGAAGGAGGGAGGGAAAGGCGGCACCCAGAACCCACCCGCCGCGGGTGCCGGCCCGCGCCGGTGTCATCTGGCGCCAGCAGACGGCAAAGCGGAGGATGCGGCGGTTCGGATCGGAGTAGGGAGATCCCGATCCGGGCAGCGCCTCGCCTGCCCTGCCTGACCCCGAGGCTGAGGTGACGGCGTTGTACCGCTGCCGGCCCCGGCTGGTGCTCACGCCGTGACCTTTCATCCTGTGCGGGCGTTCAGAGGGCAGCGGCCGGGGAGGGGGAGCTGGGGACGGGCTGGGGCTGATGGAAACCGCCCCGGCTGAGCCGTGGCGTTACAGCGCTGCCCCGGGGGCCGATCTGGCGGGGCTCGCTCCCCTCTTCTTCTTCTTTTTTTTTTTTTTTTTTTTTTTTTTTTTTTTTTTTTTTTTTTTTCCTTCCAGCAGCATTGTCCTTTAGGGCCTATTGAAGGCAAAAGGCGGATAGGAGGGCTAGGGCTGCTGCTGTTTGAGGAGGCGGAGCTGGGCTGATGGGAGACTGACGGGAGCCGCATCCTATGGGCGCTGGGAGCCGGGCGCCGCTGGGGCGGGACCGCCGGCCGCGGCCTCTCGCGGGCGATGGGCGGGGTGGGGGACAAGGTTTGGCGAAGGTTACAGCTGAATGCAGAAGTGACACAAACTGACACTTCGCTCCGGCAAACTCGTTTCCATCTTCTCCTCGTGTCGTCTCGATTAAAAGTATACACGCATTGAATCGTGTTATGAAACTTTGAGAAAAGCGAAAGTGCGGTGCTTTTTTTCTGTCTTGTCTTTGTTTTAATTACTCATTGCAGTACCTGATACTGATCTGAAGGGTGAAAATAGTATGATTTGCTTGTCTTTCCTTTCAAATAAAATGCATTCCTGTATTCTGATGTTTTCTGTGTATAAGTGATTCAGTCTGTAATTTATAAGCTTGGGATCAGAGGCCTCTGTGAAATGTGTAGTTGCTTTTCTTCATTCACACCCTTTAAAATGTTTACAGTTTCTCTTGTACACAGTATATTTCTTCTGTATTCTTGGAATGAAGTGGGAATTGCCAATTGACTTTGGTTTCTTAGCTATCAAAAGTGAACTCGTGATGATTCAGTGGATAATTGTGTAAAACAAAGTACTTCACCAAGTGCTTAAACCCTAGGTACTGCAAACTCCTCACAATCCATGTTAGTCTGTAATTGACGTTTTTCTGTATTATTTAAGACAAAAATATGCCTTACAAAAGTAAATGACATGGAACTTGATTGTTACTTGACATGTAACTGTACAGATTTTATTTTGTACTAATCCTCCATCTGCTGTTTCTTGTTAGTATGGATATGCCAAAATGGTAGTGTACAATCATTCTCTTCTAGTCAATAATGCATATCATTAGGTATCCAAATCTTCTCTTTTCATCATTGAGATGTGAGGGGATGTAAGTGACTTGAATGAAATTAGTAGTATGCTATATATTCGTAATGTTATTTATTTTCAAAGACTTGACAATTATAGGGGAAATCCTGAGACAGGCCATTAAAAGCCTCAGCAGCGTGTATCTCCGCTGTGTTCTGCTTGACAGTGATATTAACATGTGTACAGTAACAGAATTGTATCCGTCTGTTTAGGGCACCATTGGGATTAAGACCCTTTGAGTCCTCAGATTCTCTAAATTTGGGTTGGGTATATGACCCTCCACGTTTTCTGCTCATGAGCAGTGGAATTGGAAGGAAAGGAAGGGTCAAAGAGATCTATATGTGTCCCAGGAAGAAAAAATGGAGACTCTGAACTTCTTTTACCTTATTATGCCTGTTTCATAGGCATATTTCAGCATTCCCCACTGCTTTTGTTGTTGTTGCTATTTGCTATTCTTCCAAGTAAGAGAAATTCCATAGGGGTAAAATGATGTCAGCATTTTCCTTTGCTCATTTGCTGTGCATTCTAGCCAGAATAGGGTCAGAGGAAGATCTAGATACTGTTCAAAACTTCATTATTTGTCCATCTTGAGCATCTTGTTTCTAGGCAAATAGGGGGAATAAAGCAGCCAAGAGGTTGCACAGGTGAATTTTCTTGAAGGGTTTTACTAGGTTTTAGCCATAGTGTTGTAGAGTCAGAATAGACACGTTGTATACTTAACTGGGATCCTAGCAAAATCATGTCTCAGTTTGCTGCTTCTTTAAGCAATAGCTAATAACTGAAAGTAACAATTTAGTACTATAATAGGATAGGCAACAATGTCTGGTAAAGCAGAATGTGGTGAAGGCAGTAAGACTTAGAATTTCAGTAGAGTTGGAGAGGTAGCAGGAAATATTCCCATTGTCTGCATCGCTAATAGAGCTTGGAATACAGATGATCTTGTAGAAGCTATTTAATATGTTTTGTTTGTTGGGATAGTCTGGTTTTAGGATATTCTTCTGTCTCGTGGAACAGAGATTGGAATCCTTCATTTTTGTCCATGAAAAGTGACAGACTGGTTGGATAATTTGTAAAGGGAATTGCAGAAATGAATTGTGTTGTCCATCCCCATAGTCCAGCCCTAAGAATTTTTTCCAACTAAAGTCAATCACATGATACAAAAGAAAAAATTTCAAATGAGTATTGGTGTGCTTAGTTATGTTTCTGTGTTTAGGTACACAGACAAAAGGAAAATTGTCTGACTGGAAGAAAAATTATGTTTTTTTGTTAATTTGAAAATACTTTACCAGATTTTTCTAGACAGAAGTACCGTATAACTGCGGGACTGTCAAAATGTTTTAGTAGAAAAAGGTCTAGATGGGCTAGTGATAATATTTTTATTAAAAAACATCTTGCTTTACTTTCCTGAAAGTTGGTTGGGTACGTTTTAATGGATGTTCAGAGATTGAAAGTGTATTTTAATGGCCCACAGAGGTGGTTGGGGTTGGGGGGAAGGGTTGAGTAGCTTAAACATGCGTACAAAGATTATTCATTCACAGACATCTTACTACGAGCTATTTCTGTAGCTTTTTTGGAAGCTACTGAGTATTTTAAATTTTTAATTATCTACTTCCTTTATAATTTCATATGCAGGATGTTTGGACTACCTGCATAATACTATACATTGTTTGTTTTGTTTCTGCATCTAAATTCTGTTCATGACTTTGATACCAAAGAGGACATATGGAAAGTGTCTTTCCAAGAGATTTATTTCTGAGGCAGTAGTGTAGAAGTTTAAATAATGAAGTATTTAAATTCATTTTCAATCTTGTGGTATTACATGTAATATTTTAATTATATTAGTGTGGCGATATAAATTATATATTTAAATTCATTTTTTCAGTTCTGATATTACATGTAAGTTTAATTATATCTTACTAAGTCTGTGCTCAGGCTTGCTGTAGTGATTTTCATTTTACTATAATTTGGGGAATGTTTAAATTTCTGGATTTTGCTGTATTGAGGAAGAAATTTCAAATATGCAGTCCATGCTAATGTTAATTGTGTCTGTAACTTTCTAGGCCTTATTCTAGAAAGGATTGCATGTGAAAATTTATACTCTGTGCAAAAAGGTTTGTTAATAAATAAAAATAAATTGTAACAGAGATGAAATTTGAATAATTTCATGGAGTTTTTGTGGCTTTTAAAAATCTTCCTCTAGTTACTATTAAATTTACCAAAGGAGCAAGGTCTGCTGGATAGAGTGCTTGGCTGGGATTGAGAAAAGAGACCTGCATGAAGTTTTCTATCAGTTGTACCTCTGAGTGAATTCAAGTGAAAATTTCATTTTCATGTGCTTGTGTTTAAGGTGCTGTATGTAAAGGAGTAGCTGTTATCCCTTTTGTAGGTTGCTAAATTTTGTGAGGTTTTTTTTATGGTTAGATGGACTAGCATGGTTGTAGAAGAATTCTGAAAGGAGACATGATGGCCTTGCTGATGAGATTTTGCATTTATAGGCTGTGGAAGATAGTACAGAGAGAGAGATAAGGGAGTAAGAGACTGGGGGTAGCTGAAGGCCAGAAAAAATAAAGCAACCTGACATAAGATGGTACAGCTTTAACATCAGAGCTGCAGAGCAGAGTTGCAAGATCCGTATCCTCTGCAGGGTTATTCCAGGTAGTGTTAGCATAGTCAGGGCTTGGATTGAGATGATAATCATCAACAGTAAAGTGGGAAAACATGCTAAAACATACACAGATTGATTAAAGAAGTTATTTTGTTAATTTAGCATGTCATGTGTACTTTTTAAGAAAACAGTGTGTTTTATTAGCCTAAAGGAAAAGGTCTGCTTGAAGAATCACTAATGAAGAAATCAATAATGCCTATTGCTGCCACTGGATGAGTAATTAATTCTCACTAGATCCTTGTGACACTGTAATGTGTTATTATCAACTTGAACCAAAATTGAAGACTGTGGCTGAGTGGATGTGCAACTTTAAAACATTGCATTGTATTTAGGACACTAGAATGTCCTGAAAGAAATGGAGCCAGCTTCCAGTTATTTTTTGGATTCATATCTTTACTTTTTAGGGTACAGGAAAAGCTTTCATGATATTTGATTCTGCTCTCTGAAGACTTTGAGCTAATTACTGCTACTAATTATCTAAGACTACTCTTCAGTGAATTCCTCTTCTGGTTCTGTTTTCTGAGGTAGAAGTTCAATCCACTGCGTATTCAAGCCTTGCATTTGACAGTGAAACTGAATTACCTTTAGTAATTTTTGTTTTATTGGTGTTTTTATAGCAGTTTTGATGGAAGTCTTGTTAAATTGTGTGAGGTGACACAAAAGTTTTAAAATGCCTCTATAAGTTCAGATATTAGCTTATCATATGTAGATGATTTTTTCACCAGCCACTCTGAACTGAATATCTTACTGACTTCTGAGAAACCTCCAAGTTCCAGTTTTTAGTAACTTTGTTCTTGAAT